ACATCAAATTCAAGACGTACCTGAATATTGGTAGCCTCCGTGTGATGGATCAGCCTCTGCTCTTTGGGGCGGCTGAATCATTTCTGGGTATGAAGAAAGCTTCGAAAAAGCGTGCTGTGCGTGATTCTTGGCCACAATACGGGTTCAACCTGAAGGAGCTCAACGTAACGGAGTCCACCGTGCCCCAGAAGGTGCTCAGCTACGCCAAGGATTACCGTGTCACCCTCTTCACCGGACCGACGACCGTGGACATGCCGAAAGGCTTTGTTGTGATAAACCCCGTCTTCAAGCGACCACGCCTCAACGCGTACTCCCACGACACCCTTGTCGAGATCGTGCCGACGCTCGAGCAGCAGTTCTTCGTGGTGATGTGGTATCTGTCTGACAAGGGTGTGGTGCGCAAGGTGGCGTCGACGGGTCTGACGGCTGCGGTGCGTGGCCTCACGGCGGACGAGTCGAGGGCGATGCTGGATGTTCTGGAGAAGACGGCCGTCACGCTTGGCGTGGCGCTTGTGAAGAAGCTCGGTGTGGGTGACGACGACGAGCTCACCTCTGGCGTTGCGTCGTCTGGGTACACGCTGCTTGTAGGTCTGGACAGCGGGGATGTGCAGCGCGTTGCGGACCACCTGCGCGTGAATCCCAATGCCTGTGTGTTTGTGAGCTACCAGGACTTCTCGCTGCACTATGATGTGTTCGTGTCCGTGTTCGAAGGCGAGAGTCCGAATGTGCGTGGCCGCCTGCTGACAACCACGAACCTGCCACTCTGGTCGGATTCCTCGAGTGAGGCGCACAAGGATTCCAAGCTGCTGCGCTGGTTCCACACGTATGTCGAGGAGGCGTATCATACGCCCAGCGCCCTTGAAGCTTTCATTGTAGTGGTCATTTCGTTCAGGCTCACCTCTATAGGTGGTAGTCCTGACAAGCTGCTTGAGACACTTTACGCGAACAATCTCGTCACTATTTACGACAGGCATTTTGGGCCGTACGAGAAGCAGTGTGATCATACGCCCGAGGGTGTTCCTGTGAACTGCACTATTAAGAACTATGGTGCTCGGGGCATCTGCGTGCTGTCGATGGAGCGTGTGCTCAACGGGAGCGTGGCGAACGACTACCCGTATCTCACTCCCAACATGGTGTATGTTACCCCCGACGACGCGCGTGAGCGTGGCTTGGTCGGAGAAGGACGGTCCGTTGTGGGCATTGTGGTGGGATGCGTGGCTGCTTTTGTCGTGTTCGCCCTGTGCCTGGCGTGGTTCCTGCGCCGGGGTCTTCGCAGCAACCGCAATGCGCCGAGGGACACGCAGCGGCCCGTGACGCTCATCTTCACGGACATCGAGAACAGCACGGCGCTGTGGGCGACACTGCCGCAGCTGATGCCGAACATCGTGGCTACCCACCACCGGCTGATCCGCGGTGTGATCGCGAAGCACAGGTGCTACGAGGTGAAGACTGTGGGCGACTCCTTCATGATCGCGTGCCAGGAGGCATATGCGGCCGTGCAGGTTGCGTGTGAGATCCAGCATGTGTTGTTCAGACACGACTGGGGGACCTGTGAGCTGGACCGTGTTTACCGTGAGTTTGAGGTGCGACGGTGCGACGAGAAGGCTGGCTACGCGGCGCCGACTGCGATGCTGCCCTGCGACGAGTACAGGGCGCTGTGGAACGGCCTGCGTGTGCGTATCGGTATCCACACTGGTTTATCTGACATCCGCTACGATGTGGTGACGAAAGGCTTCGACTACTACGGTGATGCATCGAACATGGCTGCGCGAACGGAGGCGATTGGTAACGGCGGGCAGGTGCTGTTGACGGAGTGGACGTGGTGGTCGTTGTCGCACACAGAGCGCGCGTCCCTGCGGTGCACGTTGCTGGGTCCACAGAGGCTGCGTGGTGTGGAGTACCCGGTGGAGATGTATCAGCTGGACAGCTTGCCCGGTCGTCGGTACGCGGAGCTGCGCACGGAGATCGAGGCGGGGTCGCTCGGCGCGGACAGCGGAAGTGAGGTGTCCTCGGTCGCCATGAGTAGTGCACTCTTGTCGTTTGCAGAGTCGGCCCATGGCGCCGCT